TTTTTGGAAGATCTTGGGTTACGTTGACATGCGGATATTGTTTGATTGTTTACTGAATCACTGAACTTAAATTTATCCAATACAGTGACTAGAACATTTATTTTTATAAGACAATTTTATTATTAGCAGTTGTTACATATATTTAAGGTGATTTGGCTAGAAAATATGGATAGCTAACAGTCAATTTGACCACAATATATCTTCTAACAACTGTTAAAGTTCGAAAGTCCCTATTGGAAGACCCTAGAACGATTAGGTTCTTTTTATGATCCACAGTCTAAGTCTAGGACAGATTATGTTTTGAAGTTTTCCCAGATATGTTGTCATTATTATTCTAAATGTAAAAGGCAGTTCGTCTAAAGAAAGTAAATTTATACAAAATCGCTAAAGGAAGTCTAAAAACTTTTTTTTGTGAGTTGTTATAATGTGTGAATTATAACAAATATATCAAAAAATATAATTTGGCAATATTGTTAATTATTAATTATTAATTGACACAAAATTTGTCTTGGTATATTTGCAAAACACAACTGTATACAAACCTTGTTAAAATCTATTTAAAGTTTCAAAATTGTGACATATTGTCGTTAATTGAAGATTCTAGCTTTTATTGAGTACCTATTTTACCAATCTATTTGTTTTGATTATTGTATAATATAATCTTCTTACCTTTATCCGTCATTAAAGATAAAAGGCTACATTTACCATTCATGATAATAGATCGGAAAAGTATCCTTTCTAGGTCAAAAATCTTTAGGAAGAGACAAACTGTTCTAGTTTCTAAAAGTTATATGATAAAAATACCATCTTCCTTGCAAAAAGGAGGGGCAATAATCTGGTAAAAATGATAACGATTTTCGATAATATGGAACCACTTTACCACAAGTAAGGTGTTTATCATTTAAAGTAAATCTAAAAGTTGAAGTTTTTAAACTAAAATTGTTCACAGAATACAATGCTCCAATACATTTCATACTTAGTCTCGATTGCGGAACGAACATTATGGTACTCAAGCAGTCAAAGTTGTGACTAAAGACTTGGAAGTTATACAGATAGGCTAATAGTGAAAACATTGCTCTAACTGATTGTTTTAAGAAAAATTATACGCCATTGCTTGTTTCGAAAGAACTGTTTATAATATTCGACCTACTGGGTGCATGAATTTTCAGTAGTGGTGAAAATTTAAACATTTGTATGTGGCTCGCAAGCCACATGCTTGTACTCTGTTTTTCTTTACAATAAAGTGTGATGGCTTTCCAAAAGAAAGGGTTTTAAAACGTTTTGCTTCCACAGAAAAAACCCGACCTACTGAATCTGTTTTTGCAAGACTTTTAAGGGGGTATCATGGTAGGGTAGGGGGTATCAAAGGGGTAAATGTAATTTAATATTGTTTGTTCAAAAAAATGGTTTGTAAACTTTCAAAGATAATCCTAATTCACAAGGGCTGTTACCAATTAATTATTTAGCTAGTTATTTGCCCAGCTTCTTACTGAAGTTACTGTATTTTTATATTCCAAATCTCAACGTGCACAAAGGAGTAGGTATAAAATCCTAATACTCAACTTTACTCAAAATTAGTACTAAAACTTTTGTTTTAATACCGCAGAATTAAATGGGTTTATAAATAAAATTATGGACTTTATTTATGTATCCAATTATCTGGAACTATTATTTTAATTTTTTATTTATATAACTTTTCAATTTATGTATACTATAAAAATTCTAATCTTAGATTATTTTTGAATATTTATAAAATTACGGCCATAATAATATTATTATTATTTATAATTCAATTCGATTGTTTATATGCCTGGATGATTTTCGATTGTACAATAATTTAATCTGGTTATAAAAAGAGAGACCCAATAGGGAATATTAAATCGATAAATCAAACTCAGGTCTCAATCTGCGTACTTCTTAGTGCAAATTTCTTCTCAAGTCACGACCGGCCTCAAGCAAGCAATTTAATTGAACCCAGCTAGTGGATGGAATTCATTGGAGCGATGTGTATTAACTCGAGTAAAAACACCGCGGTCCAATGCTCCAGCCCATCCTTTTCCCCCTATGGCACTCTGATACGCGATAGGGGCATAACTATCAGCCAAATGCTCTTAATGTGGAGGTCCTGGGTAATTGAACCCCAACATGGTTTCCTAACCGAATTCAAAACTCAGGACAGCGCATTGTCGCTATATTCCTGTTATCTTAATGTGGCTTATCTGCCAACTTAAATTGCTTACTTGGGCCTCAAGTCTCCGCTCTGAGACAGGCACAGTTTGGCGACTTGGTGCTCAAGGGGTTGGACCCTACGTGTTTTGGGATTTTTGTAAATTTTTTTGTTGGCTTGCGCCGGTTTTTAATAGCGTTTTTTAATTTTTTTGGTAGCCGAGGCTTTTTTTTGTAGGTAGCCCTGAAACGAGTAACAAGAATAACTAGATAACAAGAAGAACTAAATAGCCCTGGAAAGAGTAACAAGAACAACGTACCTTGGAAGTAATATTGATGAAACTTGGGACCACTCACTAGAGATAAGAATACGCCTGGAAAAGGCACGTACAATGTTTTACAAAATGCAAAAAGTTCTATGTAACCGCCAGCTGGGCATCTCATTGAGAACTAGAATACTTAAGTGCTATGTTTTCTCCACCTTGCTCTATGGTGTTGAAGCCTGGACAATGACAGAGCAAAACAAAAAAGAATCCAAGCATTCGAACTCTGGTGTTACCGTAAAATGCTCAGAATATCTACATGAGCCATACGACAAATGCGGAAGTCTTGCGGAGGATGAATAAGGAAAGAGAGCTTATGCTTATAATAAAAGAACGGAAAACACAATATTTTGGTCACATCATAAGAAATCAAAAGTATGAACTGCTCCAACTTATAATCGAAGGCAAAGTCAATAGCAAAAGAGGACCAGGAAGAAGACGCAACTCTTGGCTTAAAAACCTACGGCAATGGACGAACATGACCTCCATAGAACTATTCAGGGCTGCTACAAATAAGATTAAATGGGCAAATGTAATGGCCAACGTCCTTAAGGATAAGGCACCGTAAGAAGAAGAAGCCCTGAAACAAAAAATCAAAATTAGTGCAATATCTATACTATGGCACTGATAATATATAAAATATAAAACAATATAATGATATAGAGCTTGTCCTCTTTAAGCAACAGGGCCCACTTTGTAATTGGCGATTGTCCTTGGATGTTTTGGAGCTGCGAACAGTCTTCATTGTGCTTCTTGACTTGAGTGAAATCTTAGTATAGAAAGGACTTTACTATTTATTAGTCTTATTTTTGTTTTTAGTCTGAGTTTGCTTTTCCTTCCTGCTAGGCCTCTTATAGCTGCTCTTGTCATGTTAGCTTTTTGTATAGTGGCTTCTACGTGTTTGCCAAATGCTAATCCTTTGTCTATGATTACTCCGAGGTATTTTGATTCGCTTTTCCACTCGATGGGATTGTCTTACACAGTTACCTGTTCTTCTGGTTGTTGGTGCCTCTTTTTGAAAAGTACAGCTTGTGTCTTATCGAAGTCTATTGCTATTTTTCATTTTAAACTATATTCTTCTATGTCGTCTAGCGCTGTTTGTAGCTTGTTAACCGCTATGTCTACATTTCTATGTTTAGCCGCTATCTCTGTGTCGTCGGCATAGAGGCTTAATAGAGTACGTTTTGTTATAGGTAAATCTGCTGTGTATATCGTGTACAGTACAGGTGACAGTACTGCTCCCTGTGGCACTCCAGCCTCTGGGTTCCCAAGTTCAGACAGGACTTGTCCTATCCGGACGAAGAGATCAGCCTTGTCATTGCTCCACTGTACCCGTATCTTCTCATTTTCTAGGTCAGTCCTTTATGCCAGACTCAGTCGAATACTTTGCTTACATCTAGGAAGGCAGCTCCTTTAAATTCTTTATCAATTTAAATACTTGTAGCTCACTGGAGTGTTCTGATCTGAAGCCGAATTGGGCTTCGCGTATTATGTCTAGTCTATCTGTTTTGGCTTGGAGTCTGCTGAGTATTATTCTCTCTACAATCTTGCTGATTGCAGGTAGTAAGCTTATTGGCCTGTAGTTTTGCGGGAATGTGTTGTCTTTTGCGGGCTTTGGTAACATTATGAAATGGGTCTCTTTTCATCTGTTTGGGAATTTCTTGAATCTTAACATCGCGTTGGTTATGTTTGTTAGGTATACTATGGCTCTCACTGGTAAGTATTTTAGAGCCCTGTTCGTTATTTGATCGGGACCAGGTGCTTTTTTGGCAAGCTGTTTTTGATTAGCTCATTTATCTCCTCCGGTGATGTAGGAGGGATAATTTCGTTTGTCTCTTTGTCTTCTTTGTCTTTCAACTTCATCAATGAAGTCGATGTCCTCGTCTGGGTGGTAATTTAATGGACCCTCTCTCTCGAGAGTACTCCTCATTACCTCTGCTTTTTCCTCCGTGGTGTAGACTATTCCGTTTTCTCCATGCAATGGAGGGATTGGCTTTCTGTCGTTTCTTAGTATTTTCTGAAGCCTCCAAATATTTTGCATATTTGGTCCATGTCTCTTATGTGGTTTTCCTAGCTTTCAATACGGTGTTGTTGTAGTTCTGTTTTAACATCTCTGTTTAGCCTATTTGCTCAATTTTTATCTACCTGATTCCTTGTCCTTCTTGCTGTCTGCTTTGCTCTGTTCTTTTACATCAATAAGTATTTTACTTCTTGTGGTATATCAATTAATCTTCCCGTGTGCATTTCTACTTCCTCTTCTGTACTTCCTCTTCTACTTTCCGAGTGCTTGTTGGATGATGCTTTTCAATCTAGGACTATGTCTCTCATACTGAGAGTATAAAACTAGCTACACAGGGTAAGACCGGTTGTCACTTGACACTGAGGAGTAAGCAGATTGAGATTTCAGTGCCGTTTGGCGGTTTTCGTATTTTGGAGAACAAGTACGTCACTAGTAAGGGTAGTAAACACATTGAGACCTCAAACTCGAACGGAACCATATTTCTCTTGGTAATGGCTCCAAAATTGGTGCTAAAACGTCGAGTTTTTAATTCTCAACGTTGTTCTTTCTTAACTTAATGTGTTCAACTTAATTATTTTCATTTACCTAACCGCAGAAATTTATCCCTTTTTTTAGAAAATATAGTTTATCTTATTCCTGCGAGGGACACACCTTGTGTTGCAGAAGAATACGCAAATTTTATTAATAATCTTATAGAAAAATTCAATGTCAACCCAAAAGATATTCATTTAATAGGACATAGCCTCGGAGCACACATCTCTGGATTTGCTGGCCGAAAGCTCAACCAGAAGATTTCCAGAATAACGGGTAAGTCTTTGCTTATATTCATATCACGTCACTAGTAGACTGTTCACTATGTACTTAATTACAGTTGCTTATTGTAAAGTAGGTGAGATTCTGTGAGGAATTTGGGGAAAAATCTTTATTAACTATAGGGTTAGAAATGTCGGACCTTAATCCCTGTTTAGGATTTTTATTATCCTCGTCAGGAAATTGCTTCCAGACAGGGATGTTTTATTTATACAGTTAATGGGTACGTGGTTCGCTGACGTGATCATTGGTTGGAAGGTAGCCCGAAGATTCTTAAGGACAGATGCTGAATTGACCAACAACACGGAGTTTATGAAATTTAAGAAGCATATCCACCTTACCGTCTAAAAAGTACATTTTGGTTTAAACAGTTGAGATGAATCGTTGGTGGTTTTTCTTCCTTCTCGTTTGATAAATTAGTTATTATCTTTGGGAGAACCATACACAAGGATAATTTGGCAATCAAACGAGATAGGAAGGGCTGTTAGGATATTTGATCTAGATTCCGTATAAGCAGTACAAAGTACGTTTGCCACCATAACCGCTAAACTCCATTGATGGAGACGGCACTTGAAGAAGAAGTACAAAGGAAGTAGTTTTATGTAGAGAGTATTAGGAGAGGAAAAAAAATTATTTCTATATAAAATAATTAAAAGTTAATTAATATCCATCTGGTTTCACGATATCCGTTAAGATCATCTGATCATCTCACCTGCGGTTTTTTTTCTCGCATTTCTAACGTATGGTTACGTTATATTTTTATTCCATCTTTTATCCTGTTGTAGAATTTTGTGTTCTATGAAGTTTTTGGTTGAATACTTTATTTAAATTTTTTGATTTTTTAAATTTTCATAAATATGTAAACACGATATTATTTTTAGGTTTGGATCCAGCTTCGGTAGGTTTTCTAACGAATCATATTAACAAGAATGATGCTGACTTTGTAGATATTATTCACACAACTGCAGGACTTATAGGTATCCAACAGCCGATAGGACACGCTGATTTTTATCCCAATGGTGGTATTCTCCCACAGCCAGGATGTAGTTTTTTCAGTGTAAGTAACAATAGAGACATATACCACATGTTCTTTTTACAAACGTCTCTATCATTACTGCACACACACACACACACACACACACACACACACACACACACACACACACACACACACACACACACAATCACGCGAGGCGATCAACCCTACCCCTAGGGACATGTGTATACCACTGTAAGAGTGGGATCCACATGTCCGAAAATCAAACCGGTTACACCTCACTAGTTGAGGTGGTACCTATCTGACCCCCAGGCTTTTCCTCCACCCCTCCTCAGAGTGTGACTTACGTGAGGAGGCTTATGATCTGAATGTTACGTAAGGTGTCTTGGGTAATGAGACACCTTCTGTTTTTAATGACTGTGGTTAGGCCACCTAACTGTAGAGGTAGCACACATGTCGGCTTTTCTCCCTATTTAACTTTACTGACTCTATAGAAGTTACTCTAGCTTTACTTCGGGACTCATGTCCCTAAAAAAGAGCGTGTGTTCCAGACAGAGAGCCATCGGTCTAGACCGACAGCTCCCTGTCTGGAAAAGAATGTGTGTGCTCGTTCACTCAGTCGCCGATTTGACAAAATAAAAATTTTGTTCTCCTCGCCGGCTGGGTGTTCGAGAAGTGAGTCCTGGCCACCGAGCCCATGCTTGCCGCACATGACCTCGATGCTCAGAGTCCGGGTTTGATCAATATTTGATCTGCCTGAAGGGCCTGCTGGCTGGTATAGAGTGCCTGACGGGCCTTTTATACATTCTTATTTGTGTTATGTAAATTTTTGTGATGTAACGGGTATTCTTGTTTATCTCGAAGATGACATGACATTAATTAGACAGTGAGCGATTTTTGTTTTTTTTTTAAATAAGTCTATCTATGCTAATACCTTAACTATGGAGTGTGCATTCCCAAGTGTATAACGCTCTCACACACTCCGTGTATATGTTTTTTGTGTTTTTTGTTTTCCCTATTCTAATCTAAACCTAATCTAACCTAAGTGTGCGTGTGGTGGGGTGTGCATTCCCGGGTGTATAGTGCCTGCACACACCCCGGTGTATATTGTTCTTATATACTATATTTTTTTGGTGCTCACTGTCTAATATACTCTGTAGTCGGCTCTGTGTCTATCTCTTTCTTCATTTATCCTTCTTCTCTATATCCAATAAGTTGTTGCTTTGGCCGTTTATGTACCGTTCTAGTGTTTATGTCGTAGTTTGTCAACTCTCGTAATGTCCTGCTTGGATGATTTACGAGACCATTGAAAATGGTGTTTGCTCTTTCGTCCATTGTCCTTAGGATTCTTTTCTGTCCAGAGTCCCTGAATAAATACCTCAGTGGAACGTATTGAGGTAGGTTCAGTGCTTCTCTGATTATCCAGTTTTGTGTTGTTTGGATTTTCTTCCTATTCGTTTGACATGTGTGTCCCCATGCGGCAGATGCATATGTTAGGGAGGGTAGTATTATACTATTAGCTACCCTCATTTTTGTCTTAAAGCTAAGTTTGCTCTTTCTGCCGATTAGCGAAGAGAGTTGACTTCTTAGTGCTTTTGCTTTGTAGACAGTTTGTTTTACGTGTTCCGTGAAAGTGAGCTTTCTGTCTAAAATGACTCCGAGGTATTTGGCCTCGTTCGTCCATTCTACAGGGGTGTTTCCTATAGTGATTTCCCTGTCTGGTCTTCTTATTCTGTGTCTGTACATAACGGCCTGTGTCTTGTCAGGATTTAGTGCAATTTTCCATTTTATGCACCATCTTTGGAACCTATTCAGAGCGCTTTGTAGGTGGCTGGCAGCTAGGTTTGGATCTCTACTGCTAGCTGCTATGGCTGTATCGTCCGCATATAGGCTAACCATAGTTCTCGGGTCTGTCGGAGTGTCAGCTGTATAGATAGTGTACAGATAAGGCGATAACACCGCTCCCTGGGGCACACCTGCTTCCAGGGTCCCTAATTCAGATAGGGTTGAACCTATTCGAACTCTGAACCTTCTGTTAGGTAGGTATGACGCAAGAAGACATGTCATCGCTTCACTATAGCCTAGGTTGCTCATTTTATAGAGCAGACCTTGATGCCATACCCTATCAAAAGCCTTACTCACGTCGAGGAACGCCGTTGCTGTGTACATCTTTTCGTTGAAACCTTTAGTGATATATTCTGTCAGCCTCAAAACTTGTAGTTCACATGAATGTTCAGTCCTAAAACCGAACTGAACTTCTGGAATAGATCCCAAAGCTAGCGATTCTTCGTTTAGTCTATGTAATATGACTCTTTCCGCTATTTTGCTTACTGATGATAGTAAGCTAATAGGTCTGTAGTTTTGTGGAAAAGTGCCGTCCTTTCCTGGCTTTCCTATCGTCATAACATGAGCTTCCTTCCATCTGTCCGGGAAGTATCTTAATTTTAGTATACTATTAATGATAACATTGGCAAAACAGAGATGGTCTTTCAGAAAAGCAAAGAAAATATAACTATCATCAGAGAACTACTTTTTCATCTTCTTCCTTGTTGTAGGTATGTAGGCTTTAAAACTTGTTTCTTTATCTTGGTATTCCTATCTTTATCTTGGTCTATCAATGCTTCTTCGTCAATTTGACGACTTATCTTGTGCTATTCGTACTATCCTATCCTCTGCCATTTTACTAAAGTGTTCGTTCCACTCCTGTTTCCGTTTTGTCACCTATCCATTTATATCTTCTATATTGCACGTTCTTCGTATGTTTTCGCCTCTTTTCTTATCTAACATACTTTTCCCTAATATTCGTCGAAGTATTTTCATATCTGTTGTTTTTAGTTGTCGTTTTGTTTTAGATGTGTCAGTGTATTATTGATTTTCAGTTCATTAAAAGCACAGAGATAGTCATGAAAAGAATTTAATAGCAGTAATCACAGCGAGTAAGTTAGAATTAAAAATAAAGAAAATCATAAGAATATACATAGACAACTACTGTCACAGCCATTTGATAATCATTTTGTTTGTATACCGCTTTGAACGTTGAAGTTACAAAATCTCTTATTGATATTCGTCGAAAGCTTTAGCTATAAAACCTTTTTAAATCATAACAATAGTTCCTCTTGTCGGCAATAATTTTTATATTTTATTGCCATCACATCAATTTATTTTGTTTATTTTAACGCGATAGTGGTGTAATAAGCAGTCCCCACTTGTTGACCAACTTCGGTTGGTATGCAAGTGAAAGGGCACTCTTTTGTCCAAGTGTCAAGAAATTGGCACTAAAGGCGGAGGAACTATTTACTAGTCAACGGCATAAGGATGTAGAAGGCAAGGAGAAACCACTACATTAAAGATCCATCATGGATATCTCTAGTACGATCATCATGACTGTACAACAAATAGCCTCGTCAACCACTGATCATGGGAATCGGAGACCAGGATCCGGCATGGGAGGTATATCACAAGAAGACCACAGGGCCTCCCGGGTCGTCAACCAGCAAAATCCCTGTGAAGTAGTAAATACCACTCTTAAAAAAAATAGGAAAACACCCAAGAGAGTATTAAAAATTGGTACATGGAATGTTAGAAGTATGTATGATCCAGGCAAAATGCATAATATAATACAAGAAATGCAAAGATTAAATGTCGACATTCTAGGCATTAGTGAGGCAAGGTGGCCAAATTCTGGCAGTTTTTCGACAACAAATGGCATGGTATATTACTCCGGAAACAGTAGTACTCAACACAGACACGGCGTAGCAGTTTTCGTATCTAAGTCTATGATGCAGTCGGTCATTAATTTTACTCCAGTATCAGATCGGCTCTTATTTCTCCAACTACAAACAAACACAAGTAAACTAAATATCATACAGATCTATGCACCTACTGCAGATAAATCCGAGGACGAAATTGAACAATTCTACGAAGAAATCAATAAAGTATTAAAATCGACGAAACCACGAGACATCACCGTAATTCTAGGTGATTTTAACTCAAAAATTGGCAAAGGAAAAAGTGGCAAACATGTAGGAGAATACGGACTCGGTAAAAGAAATGAACGAGGTGACAGACTACTTCAATTCTGCCAGGAGAATAACATGATTGTATCTAATACATTCTTCAACTTACCAAAGAGAAGACTCTATACGTGGAAATCACCCCAGGACAATGGCGAAAGAATAATTCGAAACCAGATTGATTTTTTACTGATAAACGAACGATACAGAAACTCCTTAAAATCCGTTAAAGCTTACCCAGGCGCAGATGTCTTTTCAGACCATAACCCTCTAATAGCGCAAATGAATATTAAACTAAAAAGATTGGAGCAGAAAAGAAGAACAAATCAGATAGACGTCAGTCATTTATGTAACCTGGAGGTAAAGGAGAAACTGCAAAAATGTATTAATAATAATTTGAAAATACTTCATGAAAAGGAAACATCCCAGCCAACGAACAACATAGATAAAAAATGGCAAAACGTAAAAATGGCAATAACAGGCCCTGCGATGAAAATTTTGACTAAAGAAAAACCAAAAATAAAGCAAAGTTGGATGACTGATAAGATCCTTCTTCTCATGGACAACCGGAGAATAATGAAAGGAAAAAACGAACAAAGGTATAAACAACTACAGAAAGAAATTAAAATAGAAATCAGAATAGCAAAAGAAGATTTTTATAAAAGAAAATGTGAAGAAATAGAGCAATTGCAGGCAAAACATGATATTTTTAATGTACATAAAAAAGTGAAAGAACTTGCAGGTACACAAAAACGTAAGCAGCCAAATACCCTGTATAATGTCAACGGAAACATAATAACAGAACTAGAAGAACAATTGAAGACATGGAAAAACTATATTGAAGAACTCTTTGCAGATGATAGACAGCAATCTGAGCTAAGTAACATACAAGGAGACGAAGGTCCAGAAATAACGGAAGAGGAAGTAATGTACGCACTAAAAAGAATGAAAAATGGTAAAGCCCCAGGTCCAGATGAAATACCAACGGAAATCCTTAAACTAATAGAAAAAGACTCGATTCGCATTTTAGTTGAACTTTTCAATAGCATTTATACATCAGGAAAAATACCACAAGAATGGCTTTTATCCACCTTTGTTATTATACCAAAAAAGATAAATGCCAAACAATGTAGTGATTACCGTACAATCAGTCTGATGAGCCATGTACTGAAAATATTCCTGAAAATTATACACTCTAGAGTA